AATCTTAATGTGAGATACACTTATAATTTCAATAGTCCTGGGCATGACACTAATAGCTGTTGGGCATTGAAAAATAAGATTCAGGACTTGATCGACAAAGGAGTGCTAGAGTTCATACAAGATGGTCAGACTGAATTCTTTTGTCATCCCTCAAAGACAATCTGAATTAACAAGTTCAGACGGAGAGGTTTTTTTTTTGTTAATTAGAATTTTCAAATTGTAATTTCTTTTTATTGTTCGAACACTTATTTTATGTAAAAATTTGTTATTCCATTAATGCATTGCATATAGTTGTCTTGAAGTAATCCATTTGTTTGACTATATTTAAACGGTGTTTTTTCTCCATTTCTTGTGATATTCAACTCTCAATTTAAAGCTGTAAGCCTTTAGAGGGAGGATGGAAAAAACAATGCCATAATCTTATACAATATGCTTTTGAACAGACCTTACTGATGATGTACATGCGTTGTTTCAAATCCTAAACAGTGGAGTTATAAGGAAGATAATCCCTAGTCAACCCCTTTGAGCCTAAGAAGTAGGAGTTTTCTTTTTCACACAAATTGAAACCTTTAATCAATACCTGGGGCAAGGTAGTTTCTCAGTTAATTCAATGGTTCATTCAATCAAAAGCTTTCCCTTCGTACATGACGAGTAGTGTCAGAGGTATCCTTCCAAAACAAAATATGGTGATGGTTCCGTATAATTATTAAAACAGACAATCATTATATCTCAAAAGAAAAGCCCGCTAAGTCAAAACCTATGAAGGAGACTTAAGAAAAAAAATGGGGGCATCCCGCTGACTGTAATCACAAAAGAAATAGTTCAGGCAAAAGGTAGGGATAATAAAATAAAAAAAAGAGGTCGCTAAAAATCCTCAACAAAAAGAAAAGGTTATAAAAATAATTGCCTTCTCAAATAAACTTTCAGTATCCAAACCATCACCGGAATATTAGGGCAAAGATTCCAAACTCAATTGAGATCTAAAAGCACAATTAACTGAGTACATGACTGAAGAACATCATAAAGAACGGGTTTGGTACAAAAAAAGTTTGAGCCTTTATCATTTGTTTCTTAAACCGTGAACAGGCCACGTTACAATCCTTAAAAGTCCTAACTGAAGCATGGGTTAGCTCGAAAGTATACTGTTACAAAAGGTATCCTGACTCCTGTAAGGTTTACTATAAATCCTGAGTTGAATTCATATTCTTACAAAATTCTGTTTGTTTACTAAAAATGCATTTTTAAAACTTCAAGACAGACATAAGCTTTGCATTTTTAAAAATGTCATTGTTTGCATATGACTAATTGTTCGACGGTAGAGAAATTCGCACAACAGATATTTAATGAACGGAAATCCTCTCAATAAACAGAATCACCTCAGATGGAAAGACATTTCCAGTAACAGGCCTTTCATAATCAAGGGAAATGACATGGTGTCTAACTGATCTGGGGGGCTTGATAATTTGATTATAGCCCGAATACGCGTCCAAAAATGATAAAATTTTGTAGTCATCTGAGTTGTCAATTAGCATGTCAATGTTAGGCAACCCCGTCGTCCTTGAACTCAGTATGGGAGCACTCTACAAGGATACGCTCGCGGGAAGAGGTCAGCGGAGTGTATTCGATAAATCTCCTGGCTAGTCCTCTGTGCTTACGGGAGTCGCAAGGCTTCTCTTCCCTTCTCTTATCCCCTATTCGTCGAGAAGAGCTCGCGTCACTGTGCCGCAGGATGTTAGTTGGTTCTCGGTTACTCGAATCACGGGCGTTGTTGGTGGCCTCTTTTTACTCGTAGTCCATGTAGGCCCAGGCTTTTTCGAGGAGTGCGTCAAAGGACCTAGGAGGCTCGATGCCAACTGCCTTTCTGAACTTAGTGCCTGGGAGAAGCCCCCTCTCGAGCAAGTACCTCTTCATGTGATCGGTGTGAGGGACCTGAATTGCCTCGCGGTTGAACCGATCGATGTACTCTCTAAGGGTCTCATCGCTTCTCTGGATGATTGCCTCGAGGGAGGCCTCAGTCTTCGGGTGCCAACGAGATGATGTAAAGCTGCTGATGAATTGGTTCTTCAGACTCCTCCACGAGGTGATCGACCAGGGGAGGTTCTTGTACCAGTCCATGGTTATTTTCCTCAATTTCATGGGGAATAACCTGCATTTGATGGGCCCCCCGACATTGTGATAGTGGAGCATTGCTTCAAAGTGGTCAATGTGGTCAACAGGGTCAACAATGCCTTCGTACTCCTTCAGATGAGGAGGCTTCTCCATCTCTTTAGGAATAAGGGCTTCCATGATAGCTTGGGACAGTGGACCGCGGGGGTCGTCTTCGTCACTTCTTTCTGGGGAGCGAGAAGGGGAGCGATAGTAGCAGCGGTGTTTGTGTCGACCTTGGGCACGAGGGGGATTCCTCGGTTGTGACCTCTTTTCTTCGTAATCCCTGTTCCTTTTTACATTCAGGGGATCACCGTTATTTGCATGGAGGAGTGCGACTGTGCTTTTGATAACTTTGGGTTAGGTCCTCTCTAATGCAGGACTTCGCCTAGTGCAGCGGGGAGTGGGGCTTTAAGAATTGTCCCGTCTATGTTTTCGCGGGGGAGAACGAGAACGATCCTCTTGTTGTCGGAGATGAGGAGTATGTGAATTAGGTCTTCGATGCTTTTAGGGGGGCCGCTGGTTCTGTTCCAACATCATCAGACGTTCACCCTGCGTGAAGATTATGTAGTTTGTCTGATTGATCGCCGCAAACAAGGCCCTGGTTGTGCCATCAACATTTTCAGGAACAAGGATTTCCTGATACACAGCGGGCTTGTAATCCTGCAGAGGATGGTAGGCGCCATCACACGGTTGTGAGAGGGTGGAAGAGGACGCGGTCATCCAGTCCCTGGGATCCTGCTAGAGGGCGACAACATTATTGTTGTTATTGCCCACGTTATTGTTCCCATCGTTGTTGTTATTGCGAATGTCAGCGAAGTGAACGTTTTGGTCGTCATTGTGAGCTTGGTCAACCATGATGATCGGAGGGTTGAGAAAGAATTGCTTTGGTCTTAAGTAAACGAAAGACGGGGAAACTGTTTCCCATAGAGGTGCCACTGGTCGTACCAGATCAAAAGGGATCGTCAAGGCCCACGAACTTTAAGTTGAGCAACGATTGAATGTGAAGTGGGGGGATACCTACAAGACACTCTGATGACAAAGTAATATTCAAAGTAAGAGCAAGTAATTTGTGAGAGTATGAATGAATGAATACTTGACCCTCTCAGGTGAGAGGGTATTTATAACCCTCAGCGCTGGACCAATGTCCCCATATTGGGCTAATAGAGCAGACCCAAAATAGAGACTATCAGGATCTACGTGAGTAGTGGAGACCAACACGTGGTCTCCCTTCTGAATGGAATGCTCTGATTTATCAGGAGGACGTAGTTGCGATATTTTTGGGGTCAAGAGGACTCTAGAATATTCTGAGATGTGGGTGTCTGCCCTACGAGGAGGGTGCCCGTCAAGACCTCCTGGGATCCGTTAGCACTCCTCGACAGTTCTATGGCGAGGAAGTCCCAGGGGACATGTCCTCGACACGAGGGTGGAGCCGTTGCCCGACATAGTCAAGGACAACCTTATTCTTGCTGGTCTTCACCCACAACATAGTTGAATTGAACCTTATATGTTTTTGGGACCAAGCGCAGGCCAAATCCAGAACAACATCCATTGTAATATAAAGCTTATCTATAATAGGATAACCTATCTCTTTTAACTTACCCAAAAGTTTAAAATAACTCCAACAATCAGGATCAACATCCCAAATTGACTCTAACCCTTTAGAACATAACTTGGTAAAATTAGCAAGCTCCCTTGAAAATTCACCAGAATGATGAACAATACATTGAAACCTCTTCTCCATGACCTATTCAACCTACATACAATAGCAGAAGTACTAAGAAAGTTGGCTAAAGAATTTTTTACATTTTTAATAACTTAAGGTTGAGTATTCGTACCTTAGAATTTCTTCTTCAAATGTTTGATGACTGCAATTCGTCTTCAATGGAAATTATGAATAATGTCGTTATCGTCTTCGATGGAAGTTGTGTTGTGAATCATTTCGCTTATGTGCTCAATGAAGCTTGAGCTACAGATTGTGAACTATCACAATGAATTTCGCTTTAAGACCAAACTGTAAACTGATATTCTCTCACAATAACCTTTGACCTAATACCTTTCAGATTTTTTTCTTTTTTATTTCTAAGATATAAATCAATATAAAATAAAGAAATTTCATGTCAGCTTTTACGTCCAACAAGACAACATTTAACATTTTTTCATGATAAACTAACGGAAAAAACCAAAATATATAACGTAATGTTAATTAATAGACCACTATGTAATATAAATAAATCAAATCAAAATATTGAGTAAAATTAAAAGACCAAAAGAGACATTAAGTCCGTAATAAAACATAATTTTAAATCAAATCGAAATATTGATAAAATTAAGAAACCAAAAGAGATATTAAACCTATGATAAAACATAAAAAACCAAACTACTATTAATTCAAATACAACAAACCATTTTACATATTAATTTATTTTTTAAATCTTAATATCTAATTTTACGACCAACTAATCTTAGTCCAACTTACCAATCCCATCCATCCACATGAATCCCATCCTGTTTAAAATCAGAACAAAACACTATTAAAACTTGCCCCCAATTAAGAAATTCACCACTAAGTCAACTCCTGACCATTTGAATATTTTGGTTGTTAGTTTTATAGCATATAATTGATTAGGGTACTAACAACATGTCACAGGTGAGAAAGTAGTAAATTAACACCTTTGTTGTGATAAACAAAGAGGAAAACAAATAATGTTACATTTGTAACTAACTATTAATCGTTGCAAAAAGAGCAAAACATCAAAGTTATAATTATAAAATATATACATAACAAGTGACATCTTGAATTCCTAGATGAAAATGATTTCCACACACAACTTCTTTCTCTTCCTGGATGTTTTTCAGAGGAAGTATGTCAACTGTTTTTGCTTCCTAGAACCTCCTTCTCCATACAACTCATTCCACTGAGTCAACTCACCCATTCCAGCACCCTCAGCAGAAAAGCTTGCAGCAACCTGTTTGTAAAAGTAAGAAAATTAGTCATATGCAAAGTTGCTTTTGCAATTTTGGTCGGTATAAATGTTGCAACACTGATTGCAGTCGTTGTTGCATGAATCAACTACAATTTATTCTTTATTGTCGGAAGTGTTTTTGAAACAACATATTCTAAAACAATTACCTGACTCTTGGCCTCTTTGAAATCCTGCATATTCAATGGCCTTAGGGTAATAACTCTTTCTTGTTGAACTTCCTCTTCTGCTTCTAGGGTATTGTTGTTCTGTCCCTTAGTCACTTTCTGTTTCTTCTCCTGTTAAAAAACATAAACAGCATGCAGAAGGTTATCATAAATTCATAATGAACACATAATCAGAGGATTATCAAAATGTTTAAAAATGAATTATAGCATTACCAGATTCTTTAACCTCTCTTGCTGAATCAACTCTCTGACAGGCCTATAAGCCGCGGTTGTGCAAATATTCTGCATTTAAAAGTTCATGACAGTAAAGATCATAGCATAATAAAAAGCTCAAATATAATAAAAGCACTTGTAGCACTATATAGTTATGTCCATTGAAAACAAAAAACCTTAAGATCACTTCCGGTATATCCTTCTGTCATGGTTGCGAGTTCCTTAAAATTAATTTCTGGGTCGACCTTTTCTTTTGCCAGAAGAGTTCTCAGAATGTTTTCCCTGTTCTCAACCGATGGTAGTCCTACCATAATTCTGCATTACAACAGAAAGTGGAAGACAGAAGGTGAAAAAACGCAATAAACATACTTGAACAACGCAGAAATTTAGTGGCTTAGTACCTCCTTTCGAATCGTCTTATAATAGCTTCATCCAAGTCAAATGGCCTATTGGTTGCTGCAAGAACAAGGATGCGCTCTCCTTGTTTTGTCGTGAGCCCGTCCCAATGAGACATAAATTCGTTTTTTATTTTCCGCATGGCTTCATGCTCCCCTTGTCTTGATCGTTGCCCAAGCATGCTATCGACCTCGTCAACGAATATAATAGTTGGAGAGACTTTGGATGCTAGTGTGAATAAAGCGCGAACATTTTTCTCATCTTCGCCGAACCATTTAGAAGTAATGGTAGACATGGATACATTAATGAAACTTGCTCCAGCTTCCTTTGCAATGGCCTTTGCCAGCATTGTTTTCCCAGTTCCAGGAGGCCCAAATAGCAATATTCCTCGGCATGGTTTTAGAAGTCCTCCGGTGAAAAGGTCTGGCCTTCGGAGAGGAAGCATTACTAATTCTTGAAGGGATTCTTTTGTTTTTTCTAAGGCACCAATATCCGCGAATGTTACGTCAATCTCATTTGCCGGTATAACTTCTGGCCTTATTCGCTTCTCAAACTCGTTATCGGCAGGAACTTCCTGCAAGTTAATATTACAGTAAATTCACATTGCATAGCGAAAAGGGTGTTGTTATACCCTGAGATATGAAGCCAACACCGATACCTATATGTTGAGAAGTATGCAGCTTCGAGATGAAGCGATAAATGAATAGATGAAGTTTTGATTTAAAACAAAGGCTTACAGCAGTTTTTGTCGGTGGAACCAATTTTTCAACACCTGCCTTCGCTACTGATGTTGATATTTCTGCTTCAGCCTTCTTTTCAGGAGCAACACTTTCAACTTTCTTTTCAGGAGCAACACTTTCAACTTTCTTTTCTGCCTTCACTGCTGGTTCCGGAACAGTTTTTACCACACTCGGAATCTTCATTTTCATGAGAGAGATAACAATATAAGCATATTTGTACAAGGTCGTCGGTAGTTTTTTTTTTTTTTTTAACTTAATGAACAGACACAATTAGTAGTGCAAACCTCAGACTCAGACTTTAGTGCTTGATCTTCCAATTTTGATGCATCTCTTCCACTGAATTTTGCCGTTCGGAATATACCCAATGCATGCGACAAACTGTTTCACAAGACTAGTAAGTACATTAAATATGCACAGTTCATACTCATGAAATTAACATTGCAAGTGTCACCTATTGCAAGAAATAACCAGCTTTCCGTTTCTGTATTCAAGGTCTTTGTTTTTCATCAAGTGATGAGATATCGCCGACACAATAATCTCTTCTATATAGTTACTGAGAATCACTGTGTCTTCCACACAGATTGAATCCAAGTCATCGCAATCAAGATCATTCGCCGCAAGCACTTCCGTGATATGATTCTTGTTATCCTGAACTTGTATCATCTTCATATCCTTTTCCAATTGAGACTTCCAGCTGACAAGATGTGATTCATCTTCTGGAGGTTGGATTTCTATATCGTACGGGAAGAGCAAATTAAGTTTCTCATCCATCTCTTCAAAGTCATTACTAGAATCTAAAAGTCGTGAACCAAGAATCAGAATCGGGCCAGAGAGTTTCTTCAACATTTTTTGGAACATGTTGTATATGGTTTGTGATCTACATAATAACCTATCAACATCCCTCAGATATAGCACAATGGGATAGGTTTTCGACACAGAAAGTAGAACCTGCAAGTAGAACTTCAATTATCAAATCAAAATCTTCGTGGAGGAATGTGTATAGATCGTCTCGTCCCGTTCCAAAAATCATGGGAATGCGCTATGCTGAAAATCTCTAATACAATTACATCTAACATTACCTTGTAAAGAGACTGCATAAGTAACTTTTCATCAAAAGACCAGCTGGCCGTGCGCTTCAAAGGAGCTGAACGAATATTATAAGATAATTATATTAGAATAAGAAAGATAGAACAACGAAATTTTACAGGAAAACGCAACGAAAACATATCCATCCTCCTTAGTAACCTGAATTTGTAGGATTGCTTTGAGAAGTAAGGCCACTAATATTTGAGGTGGAACAAGCATTCCTACGGAGCTTCGGAGGATTACAAGATGTCTCATCACCCCTGCAAATCAAAAAGACAATTCTAAGTAATGATATAAAATAACTAGTTAGATACCCGTGCATCCGCGCGGGTAAATGTAATTCGTATAGTCAGAATCTAGTTCATGCTCTACTTACATTGATTGTAGGTCCACTCCACTTCTTTGTTTGTGCATTTTTCCTGCCACTAATTTTGCGTTCGGTCAGTAACATTGAACTAATGGGTTTTGTAATAAATTGTGAACTAGATGCTAGAGTTTAAGCTGGAAATGTCCAGATAATGAGATGAATTTAAAAGAAATTAACCTTTTGACCAATTATAAGTTATCATTATTTTTCAAACTAAAACAGGCAGAAAAACCTGTATTAAAGATTGCCAAAGCTTTTGGTTGATATTACGAATCTAGATTTTGACTATGGATTTGAAGATGTTAAATCAATCTGTTGTACCTTTAGGTTCCTCCCTTTGAGAAAAGATTGAAAATGACCCAAATAGCTTCTCCAAAGTTGACTCTGAAGTAGATCTTTTGAAAGACTACAATCAAAAACATTGGAAAAGAAGACAGGTAGCAAAATTAGGTCAAGAAGGAATATCATAAATATCTATAATAGTAAGCAGCACCGCGAATTGACTAATTTTTGTAGGCGGCAGGGATCAACTTTCGCCATAATGTTCTATCCAGGACCATTCTTCTGTCCAAATCGTTAATCTCGAGATATTTTTTAATAACTTCTCTTAGTCTTTCTAGGCCTTCCTTTTCTTCTAGAAGTATGACTTCTAGTCATCTGATCTACTCTTCTTACACAACCTACAAGTTTTCTCTCTACATGTCCAAACCATCTCTTAATCTTATTACGCAACATCCTCATTTCATCTCTGTTACACTTACTTTATTTATTCCCGTGTTGATTCTTGATTGTGTTGATTCTTAATTATGTTAATACATGCATGAGAAAAAGTAATAGAAAATAAACTAGGAATATCTTACATATTCTTTGTTGCCAGAACCATATTTACTCTGAATCTGCAGCAATCAGAGAAGATCAACCATTAATTTAAACAATTAACAACACAGAATAAGAAAGATTCTAATAACTAAAAACATATAAAACTCACCTTCAATGAAAACTCAGTTAAATCCAAGAGAAGTAACTTGGCCTCAAAGTAATGGGCTAAAGCCTTGGCAAGCATCTGCTGGTAAAGTTCTTTATAACATGAAAAAACATCAAGAAGAGCATAGTAAATCCATAGTTATATATATATATATAATATTTGAGGTAAAAAGCACTAAAAAAATCCTATATCAACTTCAGAAAACAAAATTTAGCATTAAATCTTAAAAATCATAAGAGAAATACATAACAAGAAAGCAACAAACCTGCTGGTCCTGAGAGAAGAATGGTTCTACTGGCCGGAGCGAGATTACGAGTATATCTAGAAACTTCAGCATGCTTTAAATGAACATAAGCAACACTCGTAAGCAAAACCCTTGTCTCCTCACTGTAATCATCACAAACAGCGCAAGCATAAAAATCATGAAAACAAAAGTAGAATTGAAGGTAGTTAGATTTATTGGAAAAATGATCATAAACATACCTCAAGTAATAAGGAAATTTATCGAAAGTAACGGTACTATCTCTGCCATCAATAATTTGCCGAAGCATTTCTTGCTCAATTTGATTAGCAGTAACTGAGTTTGAAGACGAGTAAGAGTAATTAGGCCCCCACTTAGAAACCGTTTGTCTAGAATTGGCCAATCCTAATCCAACTCCAAGTCCAACACTAGCACTCACAGCTGATATCAGGAAAGTTTTCTGCTCCATTTTTCAACTGAACTTAATCGGAGAAAGGCTGAGTAATAAGGCGGCGGTGACAGCGTTGGCGGCGGAGTGTGGTGGTGGAAATGGAAATGGAATGTGAAAATGATCTCTTATTATTTTTTTTGAGTTCCCGCTTTTTGTTAGGTTATGATTGTTTGGAGTTGGAGTTTGTTAAATAGGGAACAGGGTGTGACTCATATCTATGTACTTGTGCTACGTGTCTATTGTTTTCAGGGCTACTTTGTCGGTTTTGCAGTTTTTCTATTTTTTTATTCTTCTTTCAATTATCCGTATTCTTTTCCTTTTATTTTTATTCTATCAAGTCTATTTTCTCCACTTTTTATTTCTATAACTATTTTCTTTGTTTTATTCAAAAAATGTGGATAACTTGGACTGGGTTCAAACAATGCTGGTAAACAATTTAGTATTCCATTCTTCACATTTCAAACTCTACTATAATAATTAATTATATTAGTTTTTATAATAAAATAGAATTATCTATTTTTTCATTTCTTCCCCAAAACATTTAACACTTTTATAAATTCTTTTGTCATTATTCTACATAATAAAAAGAATATGTGTATTCTAAGATAATCTCAACTCATACTTATAGTATAAGAAAATCTTCATTGTTCATTCTTTTACATTTTTTTCTGCAGTTTTGAGACATAAAATTGAAGATAAAAATAGAACAAGAAGAGAGAAAAAAAATAGGTTGAGAAATAAATTTATTACTAAAATCTTCTTAAAAAGTTATAAATTTTTTTAAACACAAAATTAATGGTCACGTAAGCACAAGTAAAAGTATATTTAATAGTTAAGCTAATAATTAAGAGTAATTTCTATAAAACATTTAACTACTGTTTCTGACTAAATAGTCTCAAATGCTTACAATTTATGACTAATACTCGTAGAAATTATTATTTCTGACTATCAGACTCAGAAGCTTCTGACTCTAACAACAGTTTCTGAGTATGAATTACTTCTAACACCATCCTTAATTCATATTCAGCTAATTAAACTCTACAACACCAATTTCATCCTTCAAGCGAATAAAGTGTTCGGTCTTTACAGCTTTAGTCAGAACATCTGCAAGTTATTTCTGAGTGCTACAGTGTGCAACTTTTAACACTCCATTCTGGACTTGACTTCTCAGAAAATGAAACTTAGTATCAATGTGCTTGTTTCTCCCATGCAGCACTAGATTCTTGGCAACGCTTATAACTAATTTGTTTCAATCATCAACTTCACAAGTTTGCTCACCTTGATCTTCAGATCCTGCAACAAATTCATCATCCAAACAACTTGGCACACAGACAAAGCACCTACAATGTATTCAGTTTCACAAATTAACAACGCAACCACAAGTTGCTTCTTGTAGCACCAAGAAATGAGACTTCCCATATATTTGAAAAAATATCCAGAAGTATTTCTTTTAACAACTTTGTCTCCATACCAATCAGAGTCTGAATAACATATCAATTATGCGTCAGTTAACATTAGAAGGGAACAACGTCCCATACCTCAGAGTCCCTTTAATGTAACTCAATATCCTGACTGTAGTTAGGTAATGTGACCACTTTGATTTGTTCATAAACCTACTCACCATTCCAACACATAACAAATATGAGGTCTGGTGTTACACATATTTTTCAATGAGTCAACCAACTGCTTAAAAGTTGTAGCATCTACATCATCACTCTCAACATTAGAATCCAACTTGTGATTCGCCTCAGCAAATGTGATTATAGTCTTGAAATTTGTTAACTCAAATTTTTTTAGAAGTTCAAGTTCATATTTTAGCTGATGCAAAGTTATACCCTTCTCAAAGTATTGAATCTCTATCCCTAGAAAATATACTATATTTCCCTGATCATTCATCTCAAACTCATTCATCAACACCTTCTTAAACATGACTATCTCTTATAGACAACTCTCTGTTAGCAATATGTCATTAATATAGAGACACACTAGAATCATATTTGAAATTCTGGCGCACACACTATAAGTATCAAGACTGATGTCTCAACATACAAGCATAATGTCAAGTCAGATGTTACAATATCTGCTGGCTGACAGAACCTTTTACCAATATAAATTATGCAGAATTTAAAAGTGCAAAAGGTAAAAAAAACACATAATTGTTAACCCAGTTCGGTGCAACTCACCTACTATGGGGGCTACCATGCCAGGAAGGAAATCTAATATTAGCAGTATTAATTCTAAGACTAAACAATCTTAGATTACAACTTATCATTTAATCATTACTCAATGCAACTTCTACCTAGGAACCTCCTAGATATGATAACCTCTCTAACTTCTAATCACCGCAGTGATATCAAATAATCCCAATCCCAGAGAATATCTCAAGAAACCAAAAAAAAAGATTACACTTCCAATACAATACTCAAACTCTTGCTTAAAAGCTTTAGAGTGAGAACAATAATTTAACAAACTGTTGTAGCGGTGAAAATCGGAGATCGAGCTATTAATTAACTCGACTCGCAAAAAGCAAGAGTCGCCACCGCGCTTTATTATTTCCAAGGGAAAAGGGAAAATAGCGAAATAAAACCCTAAAATATGCAATGTAAAATAATACTTAAAAGTAATGAAAATACAATGCGTTTTTGAAAGAGATCAAGAGTTCAGGGGTTGGTTATACAATGGGAAGGTATTAGCACCCAATGCATCTGCGGTACTCCGCAGGAACCTTTTGAAATATCTATTTTTGGTTAAAATTGTTTGTTATATAGAAGGGTGTATTTATCAACAATTATGTTTGTTTAAGGGGAAAGAAATGAGTTTTTATTATTGCGTTCGTGAGGGTTTCACGACCCTTTGCCTACGTATCCAATGAAGGAATCAAAACACCGTAGTTCCTCTAGAAAAAAGTTGATTTGTTTTTTTTTTAGTGGGCGATATTAACGCACGCATTCTAGCAATAGGCACGGCCGGTATCGCGGTAGAACGGAGATAACATACCCTTGGGGGGAGTTTTGATTTATTGAGTGTTTTTTAGTTTTTAGATATATTCAAGTAAGGATTAAAGAGTGTTTTTAATCTTTTTGGTTTGTTTACTTGTTGATTTTATCTTGCCTAATTACTAGCATTTGTACAAAGTAAATAAAAATGCAGAAAGATAAAAACCTACGCTATTACAAACATATCAAAAGGCATAAAAAATATGAAGGAAAAAAAAAAGATAAAAGTGAGAAAAGTAAGTGTCTTTCGACCCAAGCAGTAGTACTCTTTGATTTGCATTCTGTTGGCCTCCTTCGATTGGGCTGGCAACAGCAAAGTCACGTCTTTCGATTGGGCCTTGGCGGGGGCGAGGTCCTGTCCTTCGATTGGGAAAAGGCAGCAGTAAGTTGTATCCTTCGACTGGGAGTTCGCACCAGTGAGGTTCTGTCCTTCGATTGGCCTGACAGTCAGTGTATGTCGAAGTCTTTTGATTCTGCCTTGTTGCCTTCTTCGACTGGGGGTTGAAAGCAGTGAGGGAATGTCTTTCGATTGGACATGGTTTGCCTCCTGGTTGTCTCTTTCGTTCGACCTGGAGAAAGGGGGTAGAAGCCAGAAGCTTCGTTTCCTATTTCCTGTTTCCTGTTTCTTTCATTTCAAGCATTAAATGACAACATGGCCTGAGGCCATGCTAGTATTTATCTTTCAAACAGTTTAATAATTAATGCTAGTTCAGGTAAACAGAAAGCAAAATGAAAGGGTTAACTTTTAAAAACATGTTAACAGGGTGGAAACGAAAGGAACAGTGGTATATACATGCTTGAAACGAACAAAAAGATTATTTACATGTTATGACATGAAACGAAAAGTTCAAGGGTAAGAGTGACTTACCTTGCTTCAGGCCTTGAATGGATGTGGGACCTTGAGTGGAGGCCCCGGGTTCTGGATTTGAAAGAGAGGGCCAACAGTTACGCTGGGAATGCTGGATTCGATGGAAGGAAAGAAACAAGTCTTATGTTTCTTTCCAAACTGGAATCGAAGAGTAGTCACAGGGGGTTGTCTTTCTGAGTTTGAATAAAATAACTATGTGTGGGGTGTTCTTCAGAATCGAAGGAGACTGAAGTGTGTGGATTCTTCAGAATCAAAAATAGGTGAGCGTTTCTGGTTTTTTTTATTTCTCAAGTGTTGATGAACTTGAGAGTTTTGTTGTTGTGTTTGAGAAGATTTTGGAGGTTTCGTTCCTCTAGTCCAAAAAATCCTCTAAAAAATATGTGTTGGAGCCTCTTTATTTATAGGCGAGCTTTGATATGGTTTTAGGGGGAAATCAAATAATATTTGAATTATTTGGGTATATTGCCCCCTTGTTTTCTTCAATGCAGCTCTTGTGCACTCCTTTTTTGTACAAGTACAGGACTGAGACAACGCAGGCTTATCAGTATTTTGGAGCTTAGTGGCAGTTGGTGCAGGACTGCTGCATAGCAGCACAGCTGGCTTGAGTTTGGCAGTATATGGGACTTTAGTCAACAAACTCCTTGAATGCTTCCCCCTTTCGTTTTGATCACTTCGACCAGCTTCATGATTACACAAAAATGTTCGTTTCCAAACAATGTGTGCTCTAAGTACGTTGCTTCGAAGGGTTTAGTGGTCCAACTTGTGAATCGAAGGAGGCCACCTTGAAGGAAATCACATGTCCATCTTGTGGATCAAAGGGGGTCACTTCGAAGGAAACTACATGGCCAAATCGAAGCTTGTGACTGAAAGGAGATTGTATTGCCTAATCGAAGCTTGTGACTGAAGGAGACTGTATTGCCCAATCGAAAGCCCGTGTTCGAAGGAAGCAATGTTGCCCAATCGAAGCATGTGGATCGAAACAAACATATTGCCCAATCGAAAGCCCGTGTTCGAAGGAAGCAATGTTGCCCAATCGAAACATGTTTGCAGGCAGTAAACTTGTCCAATCGAAGCAGGCTTGCAGGCAGTAAACTTGTCCAGTCGAAGCAGGCTTGCATGCAGTAATTTGTCCAATTGAAAGGCTGAATCGAAGG